TTTTGATGGGGAGAAAAATGTTTATTCGCTAAACAATATATAATGTGTATTTTATGGCACTTCGATCATTTTTTTTTTCTTGTATTTGCATTTTGTTGAAGTCATTTGTCAAAAACAAATAATAAATATTTATTGTTATTGATGCATGCTTTTTTGTTTGTTTTGTTTTGATTGTTTGTAGGACACGCACTTAAATTTTATAAATCAATTCAAAAAATAAAGTTGTTGTTAAATGATGATGATTACGATAATGAAATAATGCTTATTCTTATAATTCATCCAACCGGCCAATTTCTAAATTAACATCATCTAATCTTGTTATCATATCTGCAAAAGATGTTTTTGATAACTTTAAACTCTCTAAAACAAACTTGACAATTTAACAATTATAGATAATTTATTTTTTTGGGCGATAATGTATCGGCCAAACATAAATATAAATAAAAGGAGAATACCGACAATAAGCAATATTATTATAAATGGGTTGAAACGCCAAATATACTAATATGGAAATTATCTAGCCTTTTGATTATTTGTAAATTATACATTTTATTTCTCGAGAAAATTTATTCTTTAAAATTCCCTTCTTTGACCTATTCTCCTTTACAACCTGTTACTCTCCTCTACTATTATATCATTGTTGTTGTTGTTATTATTATTATTCCTATTGTCAACTTTTTTTTTTTTTTCTAATAATTATTGTTTTATAATTTTTTTTTCTTGTATAATAATATTCAAGGAAAATAGGAATATAGGAAAAAAACATTGTAACACTCGTTGTGTGTGAGCTTGGTTGATGATAATCTTTACTTTTCAGATCTATAGGTGATTATTATAATGATGTTGGTAATGATGATATTTGGCTTCAATTAAAAACTTTTAGATGCAATTTTTAAATGAGGAGGGGTTTGTTTTTTGCGTAATTTACAACACATCTTACTTAATGATTGTATCAATTTTATCCGCAACATTATTACTATTAATTTCAAAAAAAGAAACAAAAATCCGGGGCGAGGAATTTCAAATATTAA